AAAAAAAAAAAAAAAAAAACAAAAGAGATGCTGTCTCAAAAAAACAGAAAGAAAAGTAGAGTTTGATTGAGGAAAGCATCCAGTGTTGAACTCTTGCCTCCATTCATGCATATGTATGTGCACACACTTATGCAAACACACACAAACACACATGCATGCACACATGTATCTCCTGAGCTAAGCAATACAGATTTCCACTAAAACATCAAGTAATATCCTTATTTGCCTTCCAAGTGTGGCCCTGGCAAGTCACAAAACACTGTAAGATTTCACTTACATGATGTGTCTAGAGTAGCCACAAACCAAGACAAACGACGGCCGACAGAGGCTAAGGGGGTAATGAGTGCGCCCATGAGCAAGCAATCTGTCTGTCTAAGATTTTTAAAAATTCCAGAAATGGATGGGACTGGCTGCATAGCAACATGTGTGTAATTAATGCCACCAAATTGCAAAACTACTTAAGAACAACTGAAACAGGGCTGGGGAAATGGCTCTAAGGATAAAGTGTGTGCCATGCAAACGAAAGGACCTGCGTTTGGACCTTCACTGTATAAAAACCGAGCATGGCAACACACACCTGTAACCCCAGCACTGGAGGGCTGGTGGGGAGAAACAGATAGATCCTGGGGGCTGCTGGCCAACCTCTAACTGAAATGGCCAGCTCTAGGTTCAACAAGTGAATGTATTTTTTAAAATTAGATGGAGAGGGCCTGGGGCGCGCAAGCCTTTTATCCCAGCACTCAGGAAGCAGAGGCAGGCGGATCTCTGTGAGTTCAAGGCCAGCCTGGTCTACAAAGAGAGTTCCAGGACTACCAAGGCTGTTACACAGAGAAAGCCTGGGGGTTGGGGGCGGGGGAGAACAACAATAAAAGAACTACATCCCCTGCTTTTTAACCATATACACCTAAATTGTTTTAAGCAGCACTAGAACCATAATCTCTATCTACAAACCTCACAGCCTGACCAATCAGAGAACCACTGCATCTTTCTTACGCTTTTGTCATAACCAGCAAGATTACGAAAAGAGTCTTAGCTATACAAGGTGTAAGCCCAGAGCTTTCAAGGGAGTGATACCTGAAAACTCCCCATCGATGGCGAAGAAGTCAGCCTCCTCTATGGCCTGGTACACTTTGTGAAGATTAATCTTAAAATCTGTAGAGAAACCAAGAAGAAGCTCAGAACAGGTGGCCGGCCTTCCTGCCCACCAACTAAAAGATGGGAGAAGGGTCCGGAGGAGCGCCCAGGGCCACGGAAGAGACGGACAAGTCCCTAAGGTGTGCAAGGACCACAGGGAGACAACTTCTTCAGGGGTGGCTAGGCAGAGGAGTCAAGACCCGAAGTGTGCACGACTAAAGAGGGCTAGGCCAGAGGAGATGCACGGGGAAGAGGAAAGCAAAGGTTCCAAAGGTGTCAGTTTCGCAGAGGGGCAGTCCCTCCAACACCACCGGCTTCAGAGGATGCAAAGCCCAGCAGGACTGACTTGGCCCGGGGCCCCGCGAAGCACACGAGGTCTAGGCCTAGCACGCTGGGTCGGCTTGGAGACAAGGGGGGTACGCGGCGGACACGCACTGCTCCGGATTATCTCCATTCTGCCGCTCAGACGGAACCCTGGCCCCGCCCAGGCCGACACCGGTCCACGCGCAGAGTTCCGCAGCGAAGAGCAGCCACCGGAGCGTCGGAGGCAGCCACGGAACAGACCGCGGTGGACACTTCCGGAAACAGCGCGCGCCGCTGCGCCTGCGTCAGAGTGCGTCACCGTCGGGGCGGGCGGAGGCTGAGGGCCTTCCCGCTGCCTGGAAGAGGGGCTGTCGCTAGCAAAGTCCCAAACCCTGGCCAAATTGCTAAAGAAGTTCCTGTTCTGACATCTGGTTGGTCAAGAGATTTTGTTGTTTTGGTTTGGTTTTTGGCTTTTCAAGACAGAGTTCCTCTGTGTAACAGCTCTGGCAGTCCTGGAACTCGCTTTGTAGACCAGGCTGGCCTCGAACTCTGTCTCCAGAGTGCTGGGATTAAGGGATGAACCTCCACTGCCAGGCTTGATCTAGAGATTTTTGAACCGTTCTCTCTGGACCTGAAATTCCAGACCTGAGGAAGATGAGGCAAGAGAATTGCAAATTCGAGGCCACTTAGGCGACATAATGAGAATCTGCCTAAAAATAAGTAAATAAATATATATATATATATACATACATATAATATTGTTTGCTTAGTGTGTGTGTGTGTGTGTGTGTGTGTGTGTGTGTGTTTGTGTTTAGTGCCCCTCAATGGTAGGCAACTGAGGACCTCAGTGTCTTCTCTTGTTCTCCACCTTCCTTGAGACAAGGTCTCTCACTGAAGCTGTTTCAGCTGGAATGGCTGGCCAGAGAGCTCCTAAGATGCCAGTCTCTGCCTCCCAAGGCTGGAGTTACAGGCCTGCAGGGCTGTGCCTGGCTTTGACATGGGTGCTGGGAATCTGTACTCGTCTTGTTGATTTGACAGCAAGTGCTATCATGTAAATGTAACTGTCTCTCAGCTCCTGTGTACTGAGTTCCTGTTCCATTGCCACTCTGGTAGGATGGGGATACCATGATGAGAAAGCATGGTGATTGTCCCATTGGAGCTGCAAACTTGGGGTAGGAAGGAAAAAAACAGGCAGAAATCAGACTTGCCCTTTGGAAACTTGATCGTTGCTATGGAGATGAAGAGCAAGGTGCTGCAACAGAGAGTGATGAGGATGCAGGGCTTCTTAGCTAATAAAGGAGGGCAAAGCTGGAGCCTTTATAGCTGGGTTGTGTTGGCTGGAGATTGTTGTTGGTCCCCCAAAGCCTGTCGCTTGCTGGACTGATACATAATAGATGTTCTTATTAAACTGGTTGAGTGAATAAATCTAACCTGGTCTTTCAAAAAAATCTCACCAGGTGGTGGTGGTGGTGGTGGTGGTGGTGGTGGTGGTGGTGGTGGTGGTGGTGGTGGTGTACGCCTTTAATCCCAGCACTTGGGAGGCAGGGACAAGCAGATTTCCATGTTACAGGCCAGCCTGGTCTACATAGTAAGTTCCAAGACAGCCAGGGCTACATAATGAAACCCTGGAGAGAGATAGAGATAGATAGATAGACAGAGAATTATATACAAATAGATCTGTATACTAACTAATTGGTTTGTTATTGAGCAGGGGAGCAGGGGATTGGGGGGGGGTTAAACAGGGCCTTGCTTTGTGTTAACTGTAACAATAATAGTAGCAATACAATAGAAATCAAGGTCACAAAAGAAAGAGAAAAGAAAAGAAAAAAAAAAGAAATCAAGGTCAGTCCAGGAAAGGAAGTTGACATATAATTACACGCCATGAATGAGATTTATTAGGAGAAAGAGACCATGATCAGACCTCCTGGTGGGAGGAAGAGCATTAGACATGACAGCGATCCTAAAGAAAAGGGGAGCCTTGCCTATAAACTTGGAAAGGGGGGACTAGAAAGATTGCTTAGTGGTTAAGAGTATGCTCTGCTCCTGCAGAGGACTTGAGTTCAGTTCCCAGCAACCACATCAGGAAACTCATTATTGTCTGTCACTCCATTTCCAGGCCTCTGACCTTCATGGCACCTGCACTCACTTGCACAGTGCCCACTCAGTCACAGACACACACATACACATAATTAAAAATAATAAAAATGTTTAAAAAGACCTGGATAGGATCCTCATTAAGAGTGAATAAAAGCTGAGTGGTGGTGCACACACCTTTAATCCCAGGACACAGGAGGCAGAGGCAGGCAGATCTCTGTGAGTTTGGGGCCAGCCTGGTCTACAGAACAAGTTCCAGGACAGCCAGGGCCACACAGAGAAGCATTGTCTCTAAAAAAAAAAAAAAAAAAGAGTGAAATTAATAAAAAAAAAAAAAAAGCTGGGTGTGGTGGTACATATGCCTTTAATTCCTGCACCTTAGAGACAGAAACAGGCATATCTCTGAGTACCAGACTGGTCAGTTACACAGTGAGATTCTGTCTCAAAAGAAAAAAAGAGTGAAAATAAATGATATAAGAAGAGACAACAAGAGAGCATTCATGACATCCTGAAATGGATGGCAGTGGAGACAGAGGACTGCTCAGAAAGAATCCCAAGAAAAACCAAAAAAAAACAGAATGAATATCAGACTTTCACAAAATTTTAAGGTGTGATGGGGGGGGGGGGGTACTGAAAGAGATGGCTGCAAGGGGGAGCATTTCAGGGTCAGGTAGAAACCTGGTGCAAGGGAAACTCCCAGGAATCTATAAAGATGACCCCAGTTATGACTCCTGGCAATAGTGCATATGTAGCATGAACTGGCCATCTCCCATGACCAAGCAAGACTTCCAGTAGAGGGACTGGGACAACAACCCAGCCACATAACTTTTGACCTACAGTCTGTCCTACCTATGGGATGTGCTGGGTTAAAGGTGTCCCAGAGCTTGTGGTAGTGGCCAACCAATGACTGGTCCAGCCTGAGACCCATGCCATGAGAATGAGCCCACCCCTGACACTGCCTGGAGTGCCGGGAACTAGAGGCTGGATGACCCAGAGACCTAGAATAGAACCAAACATGACTGGAGAAAAAGTCAATGTAATGATGCCCAATAATATTCTGTTATATTCATAGATTGGTGTCTACCCCAATTGTCATCAAAGAGGCTTCATTGGCAACCCAAAATCAAACATTACACAGAGCTTCAGAAATCTCGCTGAAGAGGGGAAGGATTGTACAACTCAGAGGGGTCAGGGACATCACAAGAGAATTCATAGAATCAATTAACCTGTGCTCATATGTCAATTCAGTCTGAACCGACAACCAGAGAGCTTGCATGAGACTAACCAAGACCCTCTACATATATGTGACAGTTGTGTAGCTTGATCTACTTGTGGGTCTCCTAACAGTGGCCCCACTGCTTTGGTTGGCTTTTGGGAACCTCATTCCTCATACTGGGTTGTCTTATCCAGCCTTCCAACAAGGGGAGGAACTTAGTCCTACCAAAACTTGATATACACGATTTGTTGATATCCATGGGAGACCTGCCCTTTTCTGAACAAAAACCAAGGAGTGGATTGGGGGCCAAAGAGGAGGTGGGGTAGGGAATGGGGGGAGAGGAGGGAGGGAAAACTGTGGTCAGCATGTAACATAAATAAATTAACTTAATTTAAAAAGTTTAGGGGGTGGCATGAAGTTTTATATTATATGATTCAATTCAACACAGAGAACTTGTGAAACAGAATTTGAGGGGACAGGCAATGACTTTTTTTTTCGGGTGGGGTTTAATCATACAGACTTTTTTTTTTTCCGAGACAGGGTTTCTCTGTGTAGCTTTGCGCCTTTCCTGGAGCTCACTTGGTAGCCCAGGCTGGCCTCGAACTCACAGAGATCCGCATGGCTCTGCCTCCCCAGTGCTGGGATTAAAGGCGTGCACCACCAACGCCCGGCTTTTTTTTTTTTTTTCATACAGACTTTTTTTTAAAACATAAAAACAGATTATAATTCGAAAGTCCAGGGTTATTAGAAACTGGAAAATATTTTCTCTGTAGAAAACAGTAAAAATGATAACATTCCCCAATGAACACTTTTAAGCCGAATGATAGCTGAATTATTCATATAAATATTGATTAGATTCTGGGAAGAAGAAACCTATCTTCATCTGTTCAGAGAACTATGTTTTATTTAAGTTGTGCAAGTGAGATTCCTATTCATGTTACCTTTCACTGTTTGATTTAAATAGACATTTTTCTATAGGTTAACCCATAATCTAAAAAGATTTTAGCCTCCCCTCCTGAAAGTACAGCCAGCATATCCTTTCATCAGCTTGATACGGTACAAATTCTTATCCTAATAGTGAAATGTTTTACTAAAGCATGCCCAGTAATTGGAAAAAACAAAACTTATTATAAGCCACAGTCATCCTAGGGTCCTCTCTGCTAGGTACCCTCCTTGGATCTGTGGGTTGCAGTCTGATTGTCCTTTGCTTTATTCTAGTATCCACTTATGAGTGAGTACATACCATGTTTGTCCTTCTGAGTCTGGGTTACCTCACTCAGGATGATATCTTCTAGTTCCATCCATTTGCCTGCAAATTTCATGATGTTATTGTTTTTCTCTGCTGAGTAGTACTCCATTGTGTATACGTACCACATTTTCTTAATCCATTCTTCAGTTGACAGGCATCTAGGTTGTTTCTAGGTTCTGGCTATTATGAATAATGCTGCTATGAACATAGTTGAGCATGTATCTTTGTGGTAGGATTGAGTATTCCTTGGGTATATGCCCAAGAGTGGTATGGCTGGGTCTTGAGGTAGGTTGATTTCCAATTTTCCGAGAAACCGCCACACTGATTTCCACAGTGGTTGTACAAGTTTGCACTCCCACCAACAGTGGAGGAGTGTTCCCCTTGCTTTGCATCCTCTCCAGCATAGATTGTCATTAGTGTTTTTGATCATAGCCATTCTGACAGGTGTAAGATGGTATCTCAGAGTTTTGATTTGCATTTCTCTGATGACTAAGGATGTTGAGCAATTTCTTTACTGTCTTTCAGCTATTCGAGATTCTCCTTTTGAGAATTTTCTATTTAGCTCAGTAGCCCATTTTTTAATTGGATTATTAAGTATTTTGATGTCCAGTTTGTTGAGTTCTTTATATACTTTGGAGATCAGTCCTCTGTCAGATGTGGGGTTAGTGAAGATCTTTTCCCATTCTGTAGGCT